GAACTCACGACCTCGCACTTGCCAGGCAGGTGCTTTTGCCGCTGAGCTAAATCCCCAGCCCCTAGTTTCATATCCATTGTTCCTTTACATATAATGTCCAGCATTCAATAAAAAAATTATGAAACATTTGAAGAAGAAACTGTCATGAAAGGAAGTGTCCAAAAGAACTAGACCCAGTAGCGGAGACCCAGTAGCAGGTAATGTTGCTCAGCAGCAGAATGCCTGCCAGGTATGTGCGAGGCCCTGCATTCTATCCCCAGTACTGCTAAATAGGGGGGAATGATCCGTAAACACTAAGGATAATAAATTACCAGGCAGAGATTTAAAAACAACCATGAAAGATAAGCTAAATCATCTAATGGCAAAGGTAATCACACATATAAATAGGCAATTTCAGCACAGAAAATACATATAAGTGCTAGAAATGTAAAGAAATACAGTATCAGAAATAAAGACTCCTTTCAAAGGATTTACCAGATCAGCAAAGAATCAGTGATGTTGAAGTAGGGTTGACAAAAATGAATCAAACCACACTACAAAAAGTTAAGGGATGGCATACAGAAGGAAAAGCCACTTAAAACTTAACCTATGAGAGGATATCAAATGGTTTCATACAAATGTGACTGGAGTCCCAGGAACAGAAAGTGATTTCTAGAGACAAGAGCAAAGACTTTCTGAGTGGATGATAAAGATCTGCCCCAGAGACAGAGAGTGTCTCCAGATACGGTATCTTGAAAAGCACACAATTTTCTGCAAAATAACTCCCATAAACTCTTCAAAAATGCCAAGCTCATTGAGTTGAACAGCCAAGACAATGTTCCAAATTAAAGACTAAGACACTGACGATTAAATGAAGTATTCTAGATTGGATGGAAAATTACAAGACATTACCAAGATTAGTTACACATCTTAATACAAATCATTAGATATCATCACAGTATGTAAGGCTGTATTTCTTCAATTTGACAACTACAAAAAACATCCTTGTTCTCAGGAATAAACTCTGAGTGAGTAAGCAGTAAAAAAGTATGATGCATACCATCTAATCAAATGATTTAGGCAAGTATGGGTGGTGTTAGAGACACTCTATGCATAAAGTAGGGAAAGGAGGGAGGGAGGAAGGATGGAAATGATACAGCAGTGTCATGCAATGCTAAATCATGGTCAATTTAGCTAAGAAGTATATGGGCTGTCTCTGTGTAAGTCATACAATGTAGCCCTAATTTTGAACTTATTTTAAAACAAAAAGGTGAAACACACACACACACACACACACACACACACACACACACACGTATTGCAACTTCTGGAAGGATACACCCAAACTTAGAAACTGTCTATCGGTGAGGAGGGGAAGGAGCTGTGGACAAGAAGCCTCTACACAAAGATCCGTAAGTGAGAGACTAAATTCTCTCCAGTGGTTCTATTTATTTATGGAGCATCTATGCCAGGGTGGATATGGGGAAAAAAAAGTCACATTTTAATTTCATTAATCTTTAACTGATTATTTTTCTTCAATTATGAATGTAGGTAACAAGCAATATAGTAGTTTCAGCAGTACCTGCTGCTTTATCACCAATAGAAATTACACTTATTTTCACTTCATACGAGTTGTTTAGGTTATCAAAGTAACACACACAATTTGGCATTTCCTTAATACAGCAATCACACTTGCTGCTAAACTATACTGATGATTTAACATATAGCAAAAGGCATAACATATCTCAAATCTGCTTCAGTACTTTGATAACTTTATTTCAGAATAATGGTTTTTTTCTTAAATCCTGTGCATTCTACTTATTAATTTACAAATGTTATTCTGAAAAGCAGACCACACCTTTGGACTGCCCAGCTGCTCTATGGCACAGAGTGAGGAACTTCCTCTCTGAAGTGTGGACACCGCAGTCAAGCGTGGGGGCCCCTGCCTGTCATTCCAGAACTCACGAGGCTGGCCAGACTGGGCTACTTGGGGAGTTCAAGGCCAGCCTGGACTATATAACAAGGCCCTGTCTCAACTCCCACCCTCTAAAAAGGATATACATCTCATCTGCTTACTCTCATAATAAGAAGTCAGAGTTTGTAGCTTTTTTTTTTTGCAAGTTATAAAATGATGCCTAATTACTCCAATATTATTTATAGTACTTTCCAAGTAAGTTCCTATAATTACTTGAACAAAATTTTCTCAAAATATGAATTGCAACCACACACAAAGGATCCAAAACCTGATATAACACACATGTAAAATATGCAGGCACGGAGAAACCTATAAAAATAAATCATGATTGTGAAATGTCTTACAGAGAAACTATGTCTGCACATCTTAAGGAACTTGGTTATAAATAAGATACTATTTACCATCTTTCTTTTGGAAAATTTTTTAGAATTTCTGTAATGATTGGCTGGTAGCAGGCATCCCTTTCTGCTTTCCCAGTTTCACTCCAGTCTCTCACAAACTGTTTCAAGGTAGATTTTAACTTATCCATGTCAAATGTAGATGCTGGCATAATCTTTCCATTCCCCTGTTTAGAAAACAGAAATTAATTAGCTTCTGAGAATCAATTTTGAATACGGATAAATGGACATGCTACTAAGGGGCCAGACAGGTAGTACAGTGGATGAATCACTAGCCTCTCACCTCCACGGGTTCCACTGCAGCATGGGATCCTAAGTAAAAATATCCTCAACAGATTAGGGGTCATTAATCATAAAACCGCCAAGAGAAGACCAGAACTGAGCTGCTATGGAGACTGGACGTCCTGTCTTCTAAGAGAGGGAAGAAGTCCCCTGCAGGCCATTGCAGGAGCAGCAGGGAGAGGCTCACATTGAGCGCCGGCCTGTATGAATCCCATGGATAAAAAAAAAGAAGACTTCAGTGTCTAGTACTACCAGTCCCTTGAGAGTTCGATGAAAATAAATTCTTAGAGAAAAAGATGTGTGTCAATAGATAAGATAGAAAAAAATATGGGTTTAGCAAGGGAAATTAATTTTACATAGCTAGTGAAGTCATTTATAAAAATTCATACGCCAGAACATTTAAAACCCTACATCAGAAGTCTATCAAAATGCCAACAGTATCTTAGTGTTTAAAAATAAAATCAGTGAACAAATTCAGTTTCTGGCATACAGTTCAATTCAGCCTATGTAAATGACTGGACATACAATGAAAACACATGCTGAGCAGAGTAACGAACCTGTGCAAGACTACAAAACTGAAGTCCAAGAAGATAACTAAACACCTCAAAGTTCATTAGGTAAACCCTACAGTAAAAACAAGTAGAACAAAGTTTCACATACATCTTCTCCATATTCTTTATTTTCAAACATATGTATGCAATCATTCACAATGGTCAGTAGTATTTCTTGATTATGGTCAATGCATTTCCGGATCTTGTCCAAGTGAAGAAGAAACTGAGGAAGTAGTTTCTGTTGATTATCTGGAAGTGATCGAAACTGTCTTTCTGTTCGGTTCACTCGCTCATGCATACTGGTGCTAAAACATAAAAGGTGTTTTTTTAAATTGGCAAAAGAATTCTCAGCAGAGGCCAACCTTAAGATTGTCTTTCCATGTAATTATTTCCTTATGCTGGTTCTGTTCTATCATTTACAAACTGTGACTTCTCTCAGATATCAGCTTAGAAAATTCTACATATTTTTGCAAATCCTTCTCACAGCAATCAAACAAAAGACAAATGGTTTATAAGCAGCAAATGTAAATATCTTCAATTAAAAAAAGAAACGTAAGGAAGATTGGTGTACAATTGTTTTTATGATTTCAATTTTTAAACTAAGTATTTTTCATGCAAAACCAGATGAATGCCTTAGATTTCATTATCATGAAGAAGCAAAATTGTGAACCACCAGGTGGCACACACCTGTAATCCCAGCACCTGGGAGGCTGAGGCAGGAGGGTTGCAGGAGTTGTAGGCCAGCCTGAACCTTGTAGAAAGATACAGTCTCAAAAAACAAAACAAAGCCTTCCTGTGGAGAAAATGTGCAATGAGCTGCGGTACTCAGTGCCGCACCGTCTGCCAAGCACGTGCGAGAGACCCCAGCACTACAAAAATAGATCAACTAATTTGAATTTACAAATGCTTTGAAATTAAAAGCCAACAAAGCTGAATTTTGAAAAAATATCATAAAAGATCTTATATACAACAAGAATTTTTTTTTTGGTACCAGGACTCGAACTCAGGACCTTGCGCTTGCCAGCCAGGCACCTATGCCACTGAGCTATATCCCCAGCCCACAACAAGAATATTAAGCAAATGAAAAATTAGAATTCCAGTGTTTTACATAACAATATTCACAATTTACATTCCAAAAGGTTCCAGAGTAAGTCATATGGGGGGTTGTTTATTAATAAAATTAAAATAGGGAACACTGTATTTTTTTGAGACGGTTTTACTATGTAGACAGGTCGGCATTGAACTCATTGTGTAGTCCAGGCTGGCTTCAAATTTGCAGAGCTCCTCCTGCCTCTGCCTCCCAACTGCTGGGATTACAGGTGTCCACCACCACACTCTATGACAATATAATTCTAAAAGTTAAATATACTGCACACACACAGTGTCATTTTACAGTAAGCAGACTGGCAAAGCTTAAAAGTCTTTCTGTGCCTAGCGTATTTCATCTAGCACCTTTCTATTCAAAGTGTGGTACACAGAACAGCAGTATCAAATGTTGGTGAAAATGCAGAATAATTAGGACATCTACCAACTAATGGTGGGCACATAAATAAGAACAACCACTTTGGGAAATAACTAGCATTACTTAATAAAACTCACTGTGGCATTTGCCATGTGACCTAGCAATTGTACTCCTAGACAGACACTCAAGAAACTCCTGCAAATGGGCAGTACGAACATGAACAACCTTCACCACAGCACTGTTAGCAGTGACCAACCAAAGGGCTTCCGTTGCAGCCTGAGTGAAGAAACTGCAGTACAGTTACACAATGGAATCAATGAAATGAAGAAAATACAGCTACACACAGTGATATCAATAAAACTCAGGAACGTTAAGTTCTGTTAAAAAGAAAGCAAGCTGAAAAATACATAGGTACAATTCCACAAGTAAATAAGGAAACTACAAGGAAAGCAAAGAAAATAAAATTCAGGAACATTGTTATCTCTGAGAGGAAAACAGTGGTAGGTTTGTGGGTATTCACTGTATTCTTGCTTACCTTTTCTTTTTTTTGAGACAAGGTCTTGCTATGTAGTTCAGGCTGGCCTTGAACTCGCTAGGTAGCCCAGGCTGGCCTTGAACTTACAGCAATCCTCCTGCCTCAGCCTCCAGAGTGCTGAGATTACAGGCATGTGCCACTATCCTTGGCTCTTCCTTATACTTTATATGTTTATGATCTACATATGATCCTTAATCACACTGAAGTCTAGGGCACACCTGTAATTCTTTATCCTTACCATTAGAATTTTCCTACATTGGAAAGAAGTTCTCAAATATCATATGATCACAATGGTTACTTAACATTCCACTTTATGTGACTAAATTTTACTATATAATATATATGTGTTTTAAAATGTCCTTTGGTTTTTACTTAATACAAATGAAAATGAAGAATACTTTCTATTTTGGTTGCCTAAATTATTCTCTCTACTCAGCCAAACTATTCTCATTTTTGTATTCTTTTGTCAAATCACACTCTAATTTCTGAACAGTAATAAAGAAGTTTAGAAGAGGCTCTTGGCACAACTTCAGCAAAAACCTAGCCATGTTTTAGGAAGGCTGAATATGGTGGACTAGTAGGAAGTTCTTAAGGAGAATGTGAAGAGGTCACACACTCCTCTTTGCCACACAAGGTATGACAGAGACCTCACAAGTTAGATCTATACTGAAATTCAGGTCACTTCACCTACTTGCTATGTCCCCCAAATCACTTCCTTCCTCTGTGCCACACGTCTCATACAAAACAACAGAATCATCATCATCATCATCATCATCATCATCATCATCAAAACTTCCATTTATTGAGGTTTAATAGAAGCTGGACACTAAACCAGCTGTGTAACATGGATTAGCCTGAAAAATATCCACAAGACCCCTTAAGGTAAGGATCCTCCTCCAACCACCTCAGGTTTCACTGAAAATGAAACACAGACCATTGGCTGAAAACACAGTAAGGACTCAAAAAATAGAAAGATCTAATTTATACAATTAACATGTTCACAATGAAAATATGACAAATGCAGAAACGTAAAATATTCAGGGAAAGAGGGCCAATAATACCCTCTAGAAGAATTTTAAACTTTGGCATATGTCTGTTTCATGAAGAAAAGTCATCAGCATCTTTTTTTAAAAAATTGAATACTGATGGATTCTAATTGTATATACTTAAGAAGTATGTATTAATAAGTGAAGTTACACAGGTAAAAAGTGGAATGATTAAATCAAGCTAATGAACACATCAGTCACCTCACAAACTCAGCATTTATTCCTTGTGTATAAACACAACTCTCTCCTCCGACCGACACCTCCTCATCCTCCATTTTTCCCCGTCTGTGGGAATCAGCGTGCTACTCTGCTGGGAAACCGCTTTAGACCTCACACACGTGTAAGTACGAACCGGAGGCATTTGTCTTTCTGTGCCTGGCTTATTTCATCTAGCACCTTTCTTTTCTAAGTATGGTACACAGAATAGCAGATCACTTGGAAATGGTTAGGAATGTAAAATCTCATGTCCTACTCAAACCTACTAAGTTGGAATCTGCCTTTTTGGCAAGACCCAAATATGATCCATATGCACACTAAAGTTTAGCACACACCTGCAATTCTTCATCCTTACCAGAAGAATTTTCCTGGATTGGAAAAAAGTTCTCAACTATCATATGATCATAATGGCTATTTAACATTGCACTTTATGTAACTAAATTTTACTGAACTATTATCTCACTACTGGGAGTTTACACACCTGAATTCTTTATGATGAGCTTTTTTGTGTTCAAAAGCTGTCTGTACAGTATTTGCTGCGATTTCAATGCTCCACCAAAACTCAGCTGCCATTTATTCCCCGCTGGTAGGTATAATACAGAGGGGAGACACTTAATCTGGCTGTGGTATTCGGAGGTGAAACCCTTGGGAGGTAATTAAGGTTAAATGAGGCCACCAGGGTAGAGCCCTAACACAATGAGATTGTGGCTTTGTGAGAAAAGATGTGAGGTAGGCTGCTCCACCTCTTACCCTAGGATGCCCTACACCACCACATGAGATCTCACCAGGTATGGCCAGGTGATTCTGAACTCCCTACTGTGCAACACTTCGAAGCAGACACACCACTCTTCCTTAATAAATTATTCAACCTGAGTATTCAGTTACAGCAAGAGAAAATGATCAAAGACAGTACTTTAGAAAAAAATTAGCACAAATTTTCAAAAGTAGAATATCAGGCCTGCAGGGATTTTTTAAGGCTCCTGATACAAAATACTTTCTGGGAAGATTTGTTAGTTTACACTCCTATTTAAAGTGGCCTTGATAAGCTGGGCAGATGGCAGGAACGCAGCAGCTGAAGCTCACGGTCAAAGGGCTAAGTAGTCTTACAGATCTGCCTTCCTGGCCTTCCTGGGCAACAGGGTGCCCCCAAGCCTCCCTCTCGCCACACCTCAAAACTCAACCCAAATGACAACAGCACTACCCACAAAAATTCCTACACTGCAAGTACACTTTATGCAGGAAAGGAAGAAGCCATCCCCAAATGCCTTAGTTCTGACCAACAAGCCCAGGACGCTTTATCTGCAAACTATGCTACCTCTGATGCTTTACTTCCCACAGGCCCAAGTGCTCTGAAAGTACACAGAGCGTCTTTCCTGAGAGCACTGTCCCCAACCTTCTGCTACCCTCATCACCCCAACTGCGTAAGTTCTTTAAAAATATAAATCTCACCTTTGTCACTGTTGAATCTCTGCTTCACTGTATGAAAAACTAGTGAGAAGTCACACTCCCGAGGCACCGCTTTGGGTCCTCCATGGAGTTACCTAGTACTGTGGCTGCAGAGGGGCTGGAGGGGTGAACTATGCTGTTAACTGATGATGCAGAAGGAAGGAACCACACAGAGAAGGGTGAGATGCAGCACTGTGACAGCCCTGGTATCTCAATGCTGTGCAAGGTTGCCCTAACATCCTCCCACAGACACTCTGAACTAGGTGGCATCAGGCTAAGGATGTAGCTCGGCCATAGAGCACATGGTTGGGGTGCTTAAAGCCCTGGGAGCCATCCCCAGCACCACTACATACACACACCATACCAAAGTGGAGAACATAGCTTGATGCTGGCACACTATTATAATTGGGGCTTACTTCACTATCCTGGAAATTTTTATGTTATGGTCCACTGGCCACTTGGTGACTTTTGCAGCCTCTTACCGGAGCACCAACAGGTCCACTTGTTTACATAACACTTCAGTGTGCTTCCACACAAAGGCAGAGTTGAACAGTTGTAAAGGGTCTACCTGGACCTGGACCTGGACCTGGACCTGAGAGCTTTTTTTTTTCTTTTTGTCCTTTTGAGACAGGGTCTCGCTATGCAGTTCAGATTGGCCTTGAGCTCACTGTAGTCCAGGCTGGTCTTGAACTCGCAATGATCCTCCTGCCTCAGCCTCCCGAGTGCTGGGACTACAGGTGTGTGCCACCATGCCCGGCCATCAGAGCTTAAACAATTACTGCCTACCCTGTTTTAAAGTAATGTTTTGGGGCTGGAGAGACAGCTCAGTGGTGCAGCACCTGCCTGGCAAGCACGAGGTCCTGAGTTTGATTCCCTGTACCCCCAAAAAAAGGAATGTTTTGCAAACATGCAATTTTTTGGTTCTGAAATAAGTTAGTGTCAGGAAGCCACATCTATGAATCTGGTGTGGTGGCACATGGCTATGATCCCAGCACTCTGGAACACTGAGGCAAGAGGACTGCAAATTAGGGACAACTTGAGACTTTTGTCTCAAAGGGCACACCAAGGGGAGGGGGTGCACCTGGTGATGTAGCTCCATGTGAAGGCCCTAGTTTCAATCCCTAGTAACACCCCTGCCCAATTCTAGCCTTATGACCATTAATCAAATCTCCTACATACGCACAAGACAACACTGAGCAGTAAAACCAAACCCTTCAAAATGTAAAAGTACTTGCTGTGGGACTGGATTGGCTCTCAGAATTTACTTTGACAATGATGAGGTTTCTATCCACAAGATCAATGCAGCAGATACTAGTCAAATGTGGCTGTGGAGCATTGAAATGTGGCTAGTGAGAATGAGTTTTAAACATAATAAAATTTTAATTAATTTAAGCTTAAATTTTGCCAGATGTGACTAGTAGCTACAGTATAACACAGTGCTAATTTAGAATACTATGACTTGTTACCATGCAACACTTTAGTGTGTTTTCTGCTACACAATTTCTTTGTACGCCTTGACTCTAAGTGATGTATTTTGATATCACACTATTTTCAGTCCAGGGATCTAAGTAAAGTATTTCATCTTGAGGATAAATTAAAAAAAAAAAATTTTTTTTTCTTTGGTCTTTTTTGAGATAGGGTCTCACTATGCAGTTCAGGCTGGCCTTGAACTCACACCAATCCTCCTGCCTCAGCCTCCCAAGTGCTGGGATTATAGGTGTGCGCCACCACACCCAGCTAAAAAGAAGATTTTTTTAAAAAAACGAAACTTTCCCTATTCCCAGGTGAAGCTGATAGAGACGAGCACAGAGAGAATAGGGTCACAATCACTAATCCATGCACACAACACCCTTTGCTATATGGCTACACAAAAGACCAGTTCCAAGCCAAAGCCCTTTCCTCAAAGGTCTATCCAATATTTAATAATAAACATCAACTCAATTGGGTGTGGAGATGCATACCTGTAATCCCAGCACTCGGGAGGCTGACACAGAACCACAAGTTCGAGGCCAGCCTAGGTCACATAGTGAGTGTAAGGCCAACCTGGAATACACAGCAAGATCCTGTCTCAAAAGTACTAATAATTAAAAATGTCCCAGTCTGTTTTGCACCTACTTGTCAGCATTTGTCAGCCACCTCCCCTTCACCATATGGTCTTTCTAGGCACAAATCTTTTATCAAGTGTAATTCTCTTGTTCCGCCTTCCTCCCTCAATTGCTACTAAATGTGGAGAAATAAATACTCAAACCACTAATTCCCTTTGCGTTCCCCCAAAGTAATACAGCCCACGACCCCTACTACTGGTTTAATTTTAGTTAAATTATTTCATAAGGATCTTTGAACTTTAAAAATATCTCTCTCACCGGGACTGGATGGTTAGTTCAGGGGTAGAACACTGTGTGTTCAAGTCTCCCGAGCAGCAGCAGTAGCACCACCCTCAAAATTCTGTTACAGATGTGATCGGATTTTAATTTTTATACTTCTCAGCGAGCTCCTAAATTCAAACTAACAAACCAGAGGTGCCATTAGTCAAAAGCTGACAGACTACTTGGGAATGAAATGCTATTTCTTTGCTATGTTTTATTTGTTAAAAATAGCGCTTCAGCAGCATTTGGCAAGCCCTGGTGACATAAAAATAAGTAAGGCTTAGTCCCTGCCCTTGACGAGGTCATACTCTAGCAGCAAATGCACACGAGCAACTATAATACAAACGAGATGATCATTTTTAAAAAGTTTTGTATGAAGCACAGCAGGACTCCATGAAAACGGTTTTACCAGCCTAAGTCATCACGCGTCTGTGGTTGAACTGAACACAGTTCAACTGTACTCAGCTACCAGGGGACTCTCACGTCACTTACAGGAATGTGGATCTTTACCTGAAAATCCAGTTGATCTAAGTCCTTTCAGACCTTGGAATTATAAACTTTGTGATTAAGCTATTTTAACATCTATCGAGAGAAAAAAGATGTTAACGTTAGGAAATTGTATTATGAATGAGAAACATACAGCCTCTATCAGCGTGCCTAGCCCAGGAAGAGCTTGCGATACACCTCTGCAGAATGGAAGAGGGTAAAGCGGCTCTGACTACGCTCTCGCTCATCTGCCTTACCACGCAGCAAGCTGTGGGACACCGGGATCCCTTCTGGCCTTCACCACCCCCGAGGCAGAGCCAGGGAGCTCATTCAATCGCTCACCCCGAAAGTGCGCGAACACTCACGGCGCGAGGGAGGCGCGCTGCAAACTTGTTCTCACAGGAACCAGCTAGTTTGGGGAGACAGGTCCGACCGACGGCACCCCACGTGTTTGCGTACTCGGGCTCCCGTGTGTCCAGATTCCGTTAACAAACACCGACTGCACCGGCACTTTAGCACCCCCGTCCCCTCGACTGTCGCGACACCTCTTCTCCGGCCACCCCCGAGCCAGACCTGTAAGGAGGGCGGCCGGGCCGGCGGGGTCCGCCGGTGCTTACCCGTAGTAGCGGAAGGCATTGATGATCTTCCAGAAGTGCTCGCGCTCCAGCCGCTCCTCCTCCTCCTCCGCGCTGCGCGCCGCTTCCGCCGCCGAGAGCGCGGCGGCCGCGCCCAGGCGCCCGGCGCAGAACTGCACCTCCACGGCCTCG